TACAGCGCGAACTACATGGAAGATCTATCCAAAGATGAACACTCTCGTCTCAATGCTATCACGGCCCTTTGCGCCTGGCGGAGTCCGAGGGTCAATAAACGACGAATGGGCTGATCTCTTCGCCACCGCATCCTCCTTGTTATCCGTAATCATGAATACCAGTCTGTCTTCGTTCGTCATCCCAGACCAATAATACCACTTGTGCGCCGGGTTGTGCGCAAGCATCTGCGTTTCACTGCTATAATCCGGGTATCGAAGCTCAATGCGCACCAGGTCGTCATCCGGTACTGACGTTGACGAAGCAATGGCCAATGGATTCTTTTGAACGGGCCCATTGAGTGGTCGCCAGACGTTGATTGACCTGTATCGACCCTTGACTAGCTCCGCTACTTCCTCTGGGGGGAAAAAGAGTCCTAGGGCCGCCTGGGAGGAACATTGGTTTGATCTACATGCGCACTGGTTATCGGGAAGTTGTCAGCTCCAGGCTCGGAGCGGCGGATGATATGGTTGTATGCGTATATGCGTTTGGCGTCGGGTACGATTGTGCGGACGAGCTTTTCGACTTCGGGATACCAGACGGACTTGATGTTTTCCTCATCGGTGAAGGACGGGTCTGCCGCCGAAGGGATGTTTGATACTGCCTGGAAGCCGTCTCGCTCGAGCAAGTATTCGGACTCGTGGTCGCGGATGTCGGTTATGGGAATCGTGTGGTAGTCTAGAGGGTAGTTGGGTATTGTTTCACTCGTTCCATGGGCCTTCATGAGGTTGAATGGTTCTGATCCATCTTCAGGTGGGCTAAAGAACTGGATAGCTCCGTCTACATCGCCACGAGGGATATAGCTGGCATCCTTCTCTACAACAACCTTCGCACTTGTTGTTGTGGTGGTGGTAGCTGACATGGCAAATGGTCTTGAGCAGTGATCAGATACAAGAGGGCAGCACTGGGCGAAATGAAGTCGAGTTATTGTGAGTTGTGGAATGAATTGAGGAAGAGGGCCGAGAGGGAGGCAGGATGCGCCTTATATATTCATCCACTTCTCCGCCCTACTGTCGCAGGTCTACTCTGGGTACGCCTGTCTTGCGTGCACAGTGCTCGGATCAGCGTGTATCATGCCCCGTACCTGCTCTCATGCTGCTTGCTGCACTATCCATGCACCTCGCATGCGCACGCCAAGGGCCAACAAACTTGGACGAGTGCATGGAGAAACTCCATAATTACATTCATATATGTGTACGACGAACTGAAACTGTTCCTTTGATAGTGACACAGAGAAAGTTGCCACGATCTTATATCGCAGATTTAGGGTCACAGTCCAGCACCAACGTCAGCTTCTATACAACTTCCACCGAGAAAGTAGGACCTCTATAAATATTTCTATCATCTGCTCCGCAGGGAGACCAGAGTACACAAGTCAATATAGATCAAACTCCAAGGATATCTACTAGCAGGGTTCTTGCAGAAGTAGAATGAATACGGAGTACGGAAGATTACGATCCTAGAGAGGACAAAGAATATTTTTCATTATAGCTCAAGCAAGCTATACGTTGGAAACACAAAACCAAATCGCTTAAGCAAAGGATCGCGCAACGCCAACTTTGAAATCGCAGATCTAGCGATCAACCCCGCCTTTAATGATAATCGCCTCTGGTATAGTATAACATGCTTTGTCGCATGGTCAATATATGCGTGCGGATGGAGCAAATGGCTTATCCAACATCTCCCCCATGCATGCCACTGTCAAAAGTAAAAGCAAAGAAACAAGCCCACAAGAAAGAAGGGGAACGAATAAATGAGAAAAGAGATTACCGCCTATAGTTAGACTGCAAATGTAACGCCTATATCACTTGAATGATGCCACCTGTCCGTAAAGAAAGAAGAGAAGGAGGAAAACGCCTGTTATACCCTGCCGTACGATCGTGAAGTACACTCTATAAGAGTTATGTCTTTCGAGGCGCCGCCCGGACCAGGTGAACGTCCATGGTCGGAGGGAAGTCCGGGTGCAACGAGCCTATTCTCGGTGGGTTAGATTGGCGGGTAGGCTGCTCGTCATCTTCTCCCATGAGGGTAGTCATCAGATTGTTGATGAGACGGTTATCCGCCCATCCTGCTGGCTTCGTGTTGCTCAGTCGATCGATACGTGCGAGATCGTCTTCGATTTCCTCCGGCATGAGGGCAGGTGGGGTTGGAGCGCTTGATGATCCGTTTGGCCGTTGATGATAGCTACCCAGGATATAGTACGGTAGGTTTGTGCGAGTAGAGTTCTTCTCTGTCAATTCTCCGAGAAGGTTCAGCGCTCCAGTGCCGTTGGTGCGTGTAGAGCGGGTTGCATGGACGTTCTGGCTGGCCGAGCGTTCCATGTCGGCTGCGCCAGGTGTGGCGTCTTCTTGGCTGCTTGCATCCCCAGAGCCAGATGTGTCATCTTTGTCCATGGGCTGCCCGTTTCCGTTCTGACCAGCTTGTTTGGCGCGCTTTGAGGCAGACAGAAAGTGGACCGCAGCGACGTGAGCGGCGTTGCTATGCATTGCAAGTTCCTTCTCTGTGAACAAAGATAAAATGCTGTACGCCGCTGCATTTTGTTGCTGAGACATTCTGGACTTTGCTCGGTCTGCAGGCGTCGAAAGTCCATCGTTGTTGGGAGAGCCGCCAAACTCTTCCTCTATGGCCTTTCTCTTCCGTTTGTTAATCGGTTCGCTAATGATGCCGCCACCAATGTCGTCGGTATCAACCCTATGTCGCGTGTGTCTTGTCTTTCGATTGCTTTGGAGACCGCCAGGGCTGCCTGGGTTGGTTATACTGAATTGGTTGGGATGGAGAAGCAATGCATTGGTATCAGCAACATCCAGCTGTTCTTTCTCTCGCATAAGGCGGTTTTTTCGGTGGGAGACTGATTGGACTAGGCGTTCGCGAATAGTTTCTGTGAGCCTCTTGCACTCCTCGGCCGCGAGCTGGATTCGAAAATCGCGTTCTTGCTTAATTCGGTTCAAACAGTCACGGTGTCGGTTCTATAAATGAATCGACATTAGCAAATGGTGATACTCTATAGTGGACTGCAGCCAGGTGAGGTGGCAGACTGATTTTGTTAGGCAAGAACTAACCATCATGACAGCCAATTCTGCATCTCTCTCTTCCTTACTTCGATTTATCTCCTGGACAAAATTCGAATACCATCTTCCAGAGATGGGAGTGTCAGATGTAATCTGTCCACTGGCAGCCAACTGCGTTAGCTGTTTGGCAACGTCCTCCGGAGAGTCACTGATAGGCCAATCCTCATAAACTTGTGCATTAGAGATCAACGCCATCTCGTTCTGGAGCTCATGAACTCGCTGGCGGAAGTGATAGTCTCTATTGTTTCCGAATGCTTCTTTCAACTCGTTGACCCGATCTTGAAGGGCATTTCGCCGTTTATCTCGCTTGGAAAGTGGGAATTGGCCGGGAGGCGGGGTATCGGTGTAACGAGCTGCAGATGTATGGGCTGCAGGGGGCCCTGCGGCGGCCGTGGGAGATGCTGGGGCAGCTGCGGGATAAGCCATGGCCGATGTGATTTCTGCAGCCGAAGAGAATTCCCGTTTCCGAATAGAGACGTTGGGAAGGAGTCAATGCGTGCTTCGCGGAGGTGAGGAGGTTGGTCTATTCAGATAAAGCCCATATATTAGCTGACAAGCTCGAAAAATCAGGCATGTAATATTGTAATGGAGAGGTAGAGAACCTCCAGCACAAAGCTTTGATGAAGGAAGCAGAGGAAGAAAAAAATCTCACACGTTTAGATCCACCAGTCCACCCCAAGAAAACCTTTCAAGAATGAGAGAATGGTGAAGTATCGAATCAACAAGCTGTCACTTCCAATATGACCATATACTCTGCTCACGTTGTTCTGTTGTCCGTCGAGTCTCGCTGGAAGGCGAGGCCAAGCTTGGTAGATGCAGGCTCAGGAATAGCAACGCAGAGCGTAGACGGAGAGGTTCTTTCTCGTTTGGATGTCTGTATCCTTGTATGCGAGTACTATCAGGAAGAATAAGAGCACAGGATCATATATTATAACGACGACACTGCAGGAGGAGCTTGTGAAGTCGAGAGGGCGGAAAAGCGAGGCGCACTGGGTGCTTGTCTCGCTAGAGGAGGCGTGCGGAAGCGGCAGGAATAGAGATGGGCAGTTTATAATCAGCGTGCCGGCTGACGCGGAAGATGACAGGACTCAGAGAAGAATAATTCCAAGATCGATGGGCTTAACGACATGGTACGGCGATGAGGTCGTCCTGGTTCGGCTCGTCAAGAAGGTTAGGGATTATCTTCCCTTTTGCGCCCGTGATGTCAGGCCGGAGAAACATAAAACCGAGGATTGGTCACGTGGTTCTTCTTCTTCTTCTTCACTTCTTCAACTTGAATGAAGTCTTGCTAGACGGTGATCATCCTGGCGGTGGGATACGCCGGCCTGGTTCTAAAGCGTCTAATACAAGGAGAGATCATAAAATAGATTCAAGGGAAAGGCGGGGAGAACAACAGCTGAGCACTCTGTAAGGGGTACGCCAACCATAGATATAAAATCAAATCAGCCAGACTACCCCGTATTTGAATGGGGACGGCCCGGCTGTTACACGGGAAATTGTCCCGTTTTCTAGCTGTCAACATCTGATATTTCATCCAGTGAACTAACCAAGCCACCAAGATCCAGCATGTTAGCCTGTTAGCAGTAGTCAGAATAACAAGCTCTCCCTTTTGTAGTGATGAACCGTCTGCCTACTAGTACCTCCATTCTTCTTTCTACAGAAGTAGGATACCAGTATTCCTCAACGAAGAGATCTAATGCTGTCAAGATTCCGGCGGGAACTCTTCATTAATCCTGAGCTTGTTCATGGGCTGGTTTATTTCTTCCACTCACTCCCCATTGAATGCCCAACCACGTGACACTAAGGCCGCCCGCCAACTCCTCGGCCATGTCTTGGCATCTATATAGAAATGCTCGATAGGCCGACCGCGAGGCCCAAAAGGCGATCGTGACCGAGGCACTGTGGTAGAGTGGTTAATACGTTGCACTGCTACCGTCATATAGTTCATGCATATGCAATTCCTTCGGGAGCCAGGGTTCGAATCCCTGCGGTGTCGGTTTTCTTTTTTTTTTACCACACGAACGAGAAAGTGGAGGGTCAAGGTGAGTTTTATCGTTATTAGGGGCATGTGTATCATAATACAGCTGTGCCGTGGGGGAGTAGCTAGCTACATGGGCCAGCGGGATGTTAATCTGTTAAAGTAAATATGGTGTAGAAGGAGAAGCAAAGCAGAAGCCGAATCGAGCCTTGAGAACAATAGGAAGAAGTGTATGGACTGTGGACTGCACTATAGAGAAAGGGGAAAAGACGACCTTATATCATATCATTGTTTGTCTCGCGTACGCAGGCTCGCGGTAGAATTCAGTAGGAAGATGGAAGGTGAAAAGAAATACGGCTAGAACATTAAAAGCAAACAAAAAGCAAAGGGAGGGGTGAAACGAAGGAGATCTGGGGAATAAACTGGGTATTTAGGATGGGTAGATGGGAAAAGGAAGAAAAAAGAATCAGCAAGGAAAAGGAACAGACGCCTGCACGGAATATTAGAAAGGGACATAAGAAGGAAAATGAAGAATAGATATGAATAGATAGGAAATCCCCCCAGCAACAAAAAAGAAGAAGAAAATCGAAATATTTTTTCCATAACGCCCTTGTCCAAACTCGTTTTTTTATACCTCGTTACCAAAAGAAAGGGGAAAGGGGATGGGGGAGAAGAGTATGCAACGCATAGTATATGCCAAAAGGGGAATGAAAAAAAGAATAAACTCCAGATATCCTGACATCCCAGACGAACTTAACTCCGTTTTCGTTGCGCTGCGCTGTTGACCTTTTTGCCAATAACCAAACCATACCAAACCCGAACCTGATTGAATCGAAAAGAAGAAAAAGAAAACAAACTCCTCTTTGAACTGTTGTTCGTCAGTTAACAGTGTGACGTCTGTGATCGTCGGATAACGAAGACGCCGACCTCCACGCCTTCTCGCTCGGCATCGTCTATCGGTTCAGTCAATGCCCGTTTTCGAATGCCATCTACTATCTCCCTGAGTACCATGGCGCTGGTGACTTCTCTATCGATGCCCATGCCCTTGCTAGCGCTATGACCACGCGTTCGGTGGTCGTTACGCCAATAGTCGTCTAGTATCTCGCGGGCACGCGGGGTTTCTTGTGCAATGTACCATTCCGTCCAGAGGGCGCGAGAGAGAGGGATGTAGCCTGCCGAGGAAAAGGAGAGGGTGAAAGATGTGCGGTCGCGGGATGTTAGAGAGGAACAGAGCTGGATGACTTTGGAGTGCATTGTTTCGAAGGTATCCATGTGTTTGAGAGCGGGTGTGGAACTAAGGGCTGTACCGATGTCGGAAGGCAAGCCATTGAGAACAACCTGTTGGCGAAGTAGAGGGTCGAGGATGGGACTGAGATAGTGCTGTTTGAAGCATTGGGCGCCACGGAGAGTGGGGTATAGGAGGAGTAGGGTGCCGTTGCGTGGGGATAGTTCCCGAAGGCGGTCCAGGAGAACTGATGGCCCGTGCGTGGTGAAGAGGTTTTGATATTCGGTTGTTGAAGTTGGTGGGAGATAGCGTTCGACAGCTGCAATGTTGACACTGTATGGAGGAACAATTGGTGTGGGTACGTATGGCGCTTGTGTATGTGCTGCACTGGATGATGATGTGCTGGAGAATGGATAGTGTGGTGCGGCGGTGGCGTTGGAGAAGACGGTCATATTGAAGTAGTCGTCACCAGGGAAGAGGCGATTGGGTGTGCTGGGTGGGGATGTGGGGAGGCAAGAGAGCGAGAATTTAGGTGGCACTGCATGTGTGATGTTGATATAGGGCGATTGGTCTGGTTGGAGACGGGATTGGATCGTCTGAACGATAGGGCTGAACACGCAAGCAGGCGATAGAGAGTCAGAGGCAGGTAGATTGTTGGCCGGCGGGCAGGGCAGAGTCTGAGAGACGAGTTGGACGACCTTTGCAGGGTCCTTGGATATTGCAAGTGACGATACTATCGAGAACCCAGTTAGCGATTACTATATGGAGCAGAGAGAGTTGATACGGCCGTGATCATACCAGCAGTTAAGATGCCCCTTTGCAGGAACAGTTGCCCGTCGTTTTCATCCTGCAAGGGCCTAGTAGTCATTGGCAAAGGGAGAGAACCATCGCCGTTTTCCGTGTTTTGGCCTGTGCCCTGCTGTGATTGTTTAGGCGTACGGGTATCTCCCGACTGTTCCTTCATACACACTTCTGCAACACCGGAGGATTCGGCTCCACTGGCGACTGTATCACTCGAAGAGTCGACGTTTCTCGCACCAGGATTCCATCGCACATGATCATCAGATTCGGGCGGTGTGATAGGTAGGGGAGACGGATATGAGACGTCTATTCTGGAGTTTGGCGAGTCAGCGAACGGGGTCGATGTTTTCGATGGCGACACCGCTATAGACTCAGACTCAGTCCCAGTTCCACTTCCACTTCCAGGCCCAGATGGAGAGGTAGACGGCCGTTCCTGGGCTCTGGCCATGTTATTTGGCGAGGGTGTAGCTATCCCCAGCTCCTCGAAAGAAGGCAGCTGGAGCTGTCTGTTCTGCTTTGGTAGGAACTGCATGGTCGACGAGGAAGAAAAATACACGTCTAGATCGTGCCGTAGACCGTCCGACGATATGCTTCTCCGGATACGTTTGGGCGGCAGCGGCAAAGGGTTCAGCGTTGGCTTGTCGGTGCTGTGTGTGAAGGTGTAGCGTGACCTTGGCTTAGACGAGTTTCGACAGGCAGTGTGCTGCTGTTGACGAAGATGGATGCTGTTCTCCGGCAAGGTTCGTTCACATGATACGCTACGACGGCTGTGGCTAGGCTGCTGCAGACGATAGTCGGCGAAAGGGAAAGGGAAGGCCAGGCAGGAGGATGGGCTCCCGATCTCGATGTCTAGTTTGTCGTGGCCACAGGTTTTCATGTTCGTATTACCATCTGTGTGGAGGGCCGTCCGAAGCAGATGGTCATTCTTATGCTGGAGCATCCACGATAGCGGTATAGAGACAGGTTGGAAAGAGATAAAAGGTCGACGACGAAGAGGAGGTAAGTGTGAGTCTCTTCTGAAACAGCGACCAGATGAGGATAATGGTAAGGCTAGGAAGACAGGATCAAAGAGATTGGGCTTGGGCTGATCGGTCAGACGAAGATTGTCAATGCAGCTGGAGCTAGGGCGGCGTTGTGTATCTCATTGGCGGCCCGGTAATGGCTGAAGCCTGAAGTCGGCGTCAGCTTTGCTGTCGATGTGATGTCGACTGGAGAGAAAGAAGTAGAGAGAGAGAGATCGAAAGAGAGAAAGAAGTAAAGAGAGAGAGCAACTGTTAGTCTGGTATGTCGAGGGTGGAGAGGTCGAGGTCGAGGGTACGGAGTGAGAGTAGCGAGCGGAGAGAGAGAGAGAGGAAGAGTTGAAGTCGGAAGTTGAAGTTGAAGATGGAGCAAAAAGAGAAGATGGAGAAAAGAAGGTGGAGGGGGGCGTAAGCACGTACGGGAATTACGACGGCTGCGGCCCCGGGCGCCCGCGTCCATGCGTAACTTTAGGTATCTTTGGTACGCAGGATACCAGGCGCCCGAGACGGGTCTAGGCCCGGCCAGAGGCTCGGCGGGCCAGGCTCGGCGGTTGGCGGCCGAACATAGGCCCGAGGTACCTCGACACCAGAATAGAGTGAGAAGGTACCTGCTGGCTATGGTCCCTCGACCTTTCTACTTGGGATAGGGAGAGAGAGCGTCAAATTGATGCTGATGTTGATATCAAAAGTCGATGGAGTTGGTGATGTTGCTGAAGGGAGAAGAAGATAGGTCATAGTAGGGATGGGGATAAGGGGATAGAAGCGCCACAGCCTCCACGACGAGCAATGCACTGATCTGGCCTGGAGTTGGCTTTCGTTTCGCCACTACAGGCATTCCCCCTCTGGCCCTGGGTCTGATGGCCAGCAGCCAGCAGCCAGCAGCCTCGTGGGCCACCGCAACGGCAACCTCTCCCATCGCTCCACACGAGACCTGTCCACCAGCCCGTCCAGGCGAGCTGCCCGTTCGGTCCGCCTTGTCGCTTGTTTCGGCCTCTTATCTCTCGCCCTGTCGCTGGTCTTGTAGCATGTACTTGTGTCTGCATGTATATACGGAGTACGGAGTATATACGTCCCAGGAATGCGTCAGTGCTATTTAATGTCACTCGTGGTGTGCAACTGCAGGCCCCATGGGTGGTGCCGCAGATCAGACAAGCCAGCTGCTCCACGTCACACAGTTGCTCCCGTAGCAAAAGAGCGTACATATCATCTTTAAACCAGGTTGACGCCTGTCAGACGGCAAGACGGCGGGTTCACCGTTAATCTTCTTGTTTTTTGTTTTTGGCTTTGATTTTGGCTGGTTGGGACCCCAGG